CCCTCTCTAGCTGCTTTTAAAAGTCTGTCTTTATCCTTGATCTTTGCCATTTTAATTATTATATGCCTTGCTGTTGTCTTTCTTGAGTCCCTTGTGTTGGGAGATCCGTGCACCTTCATTGCCTGAGAGACTATTTCCTCCCCCAGATTGGAGAAGTTTTCAGCAATTTCCTCCTCAGTGACACTTTCTTTCTCGTTTTCTCTCTTTTTCTGGTACCCCTATAAGTGAATACTGTTCCATTTGGATTCGTCACACAGTTATCCCAATATTCTTTCATTCTTAGAGATCCTATTTTCTCTCTGTGCCTCAGCTTCTTTGTATTCCTGTTCTCTAATTTCTATTCCATTGTCTGTCTCTTCTATTACATCGAATCTGCTTTTACATCCCTCCCTTGTGTGTTTCATTTCAGATATGGAATTTCTTAATGATTGAATCTGCATCTTAAATTGTTCCTGAGTTCTTGATTATTTTTCTGTACCTCTGTGAGCATGTTTATGATTTTTATTTTGATATCTCTTTCAGGAAAATTAGTGAGTTCAGTTTCATTTCACCTTTTTTTTCTGGGGTTTGTAAGATTTTGGTCTGAACCAGGTTCCTTTGATGTTTCATAATTCAGTGTGATGCCCTCTAGTGCCCAGAAGCTCTAGTCTCTGGAGCTGCTCAGCCCCTGGAGTGAGGTTGGGGGTCACAGGGGAGTGGTGCTTGTGCCTGGGGGGAAGAAAGAGCTGCTTCCTGCTTCCCGGCTGCAGTGCCTGTCTCCACTGGTAGAGCCAGTGGGCCGAGTACACAGTTGTAAGCCCCTGTGCTTTGCATGTGTAGCTGTGGTAGGTGCGGCTTCCCTCTGGCTGGCTTGACGCCAGCGCAGTGACTGCCAGTTTGCAAGCCTGTGCCAGTAGGTCAGGAGGAAAGTGCAGCAGGTTGCATGTCACAGTGGAGGGCATTGGAGCTGAGTAGCCAGTCAGGGAGATGGAGTGCCGGAAGCTGCTCAAAGTTCTCAACCTGCCAGGCAGAGTGTGCCCAGTCAACCTTGTCCACCTATCTCTTCTCCTGTGCAGTAAGCTCTGTGCAATCCCCCGCTTCAGCAGCCCTCTCACTGCTAGGAAGCCTTTCAGACCACCCACTTTTCCTTTGTCCCAGGGCAGTCCAATGTGGATTCCTGTCCTCCACAAATGGCTGGAATCTCACCTCAGTCTTTCTACTATTCTACCTGTCTTACCTTTCCAATCCCACTAATCTCCAGAGCACCATGCCATGTAGGTTTGTGCTCCAAAGCACATCTCCAGGGCTGGGTGTTCAGCAGTTCCAGGCTTCCAACCCCTCCCCCCTCTGTTTCTTTTCCTCCCGCTGGTGACCTGGGGTGGGGGAAGGGATTGGGTCCCACAGGATCCTGTTTCGTGAGGTCTGCTCTGTCTCCAGGTGTATGCAGTCTGGTGCAGCCTTCTTTCTTGTTGCTCTTTTAGGATTAGTTGTATTAACTATATTTTCATACTATGTGTGATGTTGGGAGGAGTTCTCTGTCTCACCTCTCATGCCACTATCTTGAATCTCCACTTACCCACTTTTTTAATAGGGTTGTTCTTTTTCTCACTGTTGTAAAGGGATCCTTACTACTTAGAAAAATTACATCCTTTTTTGTGATATATATTAAAATATATTCTTCATCTTGCCATTTGTATTTTTGCTCTACTTGTTTTTCTAGGAAGAAAATGTATTTTCTTTAATTGGATTTATTGATCTTTACTTTTATGCATTTCCATTGTCATACTTAGAAAGGACCTACCAATATTATTTCTTAAAACTTCCCAGTATTATTTAGTTTTATGGTTTAATTTTTCATGTTTATGTTTTTGAACCATTTGAAATTTTCTTGGTATAACACACATTTTTTTCAGATAACTACTTGTAGTTCAAGTAGCCATTTGCTGAATATTCCATATTCCTTCACTAATGAAAATGTCAGAATTGCCATGTACTGAATTTCTACATGACTGCACCAATTTCTAAACTTCCAAGTCTGTTTTATTGCTGTTTCAATATTCAAATGCTAGCAGCACAATTCTAACTGTCGGGATCTTTGAAAATATGGTTAAAGCAAGTTCCCTCTCATTTGTCTTTTTTCAGAATTGCACTGGATATTTTTGCTTGTGGCTCTTACATCTCAACTTTATAATTAATTTGTCTACTTCCTAAAAAATTATGTTTGGCATATATTTTGGATCACATTAAATGTACACATTAATTAAAAAATGTTAACATTTTTATATCTGTCCATTTTGTAAATTTTTGTATCTTACAAAGCATTTCAAAATTTTATTTATATAGATTTTAGATGATTCATGATAATTTGATTCTGCAGATCTTATTAGTTTTGATACTACTGCAATTTTGATCTTTTTTCTGTTTTTACTGAAGTATAGTTGATGTGCACTTTTACACTGGTTTCAAGTATACAATATATTTATTCAACAGTTATATACATTATTAAATTCTCAATCCAACACTGTAGTTACTATCTGTCAACAGAGAAAGATGTTACAGAACTACTGACTATATTCTTTATGCTGTATTTTCATCCCTGTGACAAATTTATATTATGACTGAGGTATTTTGCTTCTTTATGCCCTTCATCTATTTCACCAACCCATCCTAAACCCTTCTCCATGGTAGGGGTTACTTCTGGGTGTCAATGAGTCCACTGCTGTTTTGTTCATAAATTCCATTTATAAGTGAAATCATATGGTATTTTTCTCCTCTTGGCTCATTTCACTTAGGATAATACCCTCAAAGCCCATCCAGATTATCACAAATGCCAGGATTTCTTTCTTTTTTATGGTTGAATAAAACTCCATTGTATATATGTACCCCTTCTTCTTTATCCAGTTATCTACTGAGACACTTTGGTTGCTTCCACATCTTGGCTATTGTAAATAATAATACAGCAATAAACATAGGGTTGTATATATCTTTTCAAATCAGAGGTTTTGTTTTCTTTAGGTTTAGGTAAATTCCTAGAAGTAGAATTACTGGGTCATATGCTATTTCAATTTTTATTTTTTTGAGGAACCTCCATTTTGCTTTCCACAGTGGCTGTACCAATTTACATTCCCACCAACAGTGTAGGAGGGTTCCCTTTTCTCCACATCCTCACAAGTACTGTTATTTCCTGTCTTTTGGATAGTGGCCATTCTGACTGGTATGAGGTGATATCTCATTGTCATTTTGATTTGCATTTCCCTGATGATTAGCAGTGTGGAGCATCACTTCATGTGTCTGTTGGCCATCTGTATGCCTTCTTTGGAAAAAGTGTCTGTTCGGGTCCTCTGCCCATTTTTAATCAGGTTATTTGTTTTTTCAGTGTTGAGGCATAAGAGTTCTTTATGTATTTTGGATATTAACCCTTTATTGGATGTATCATTTATGAATATATTGTCCCATATTGTAGGTTGCCTTTTTGTTTTATTGATGATGTCCTTTGCTGTAATTTGGTCTTTTTTGCCACTGTATCTTCTAGCTTGTTTCTCGTTTCCTTAATTTATTCAATATTAAGTTTGTCTTTTCTGTGTAAGGCCCTCATGTATTTAGATAATCACCATGGTTTTAAACTTCTGTTAAATGAAAGTAACATGACACATATACCTCAAAAATGAGTCATAGCATAACACAAGAATCTTCATTTTATAATTTCCTAACAGGAATTCTGACCCAATTTCATTTGTGATTTCAGAATTTTAAATCCTTTTTTAAGCATTTCTTCTTGGACTATAAATAAGAAAGTTCACTTTTGTATTTAACACCATCAATTAAGCAAAGAATATCTGTCTATTTCTCCATCATCATAGTAATCTTTGATGGGTTCAATATTTCCAGGTATTTGGACCTGTCAGTAACAGTATCCATTGCTTGTAACTTCCTAAGATTTGTTCAGGAACTTCTCACTAAGTGGGGAGATGGTGGGGCTATGTCCAGCCTGAGAACTATCACAGTTCCAGTGCTAATGCTAATGATGCTTTTTGGGAGGGAATGTAGGTTTTGTTTTTTATTACTATTTTTTTTATTGGAATATAATTTATATACAATATTACATTGGTTTCAGATGAACAACTTAGTGATTCATCAGTTATAAACACTACTAAATGCTCAGCATGACTAGAACAGTTACTACCCATCACCATACAAAGATACCCTAACATTATGAGCTATATTCCCTATGCTATACCTCCAATTCTGGCAACTAAGCTATTTTATAATTTGAAGTTTACATCTCTTTATCCCACTCACCCTTTCACCCTCCCCCCAATCCACATGGCAACCAATCACCTGTTCTCTGCATTTATGAGTCTGTTTCTGTTTTGTTTGTTTGGCTTTTCAGATTCTACATATAAGTGAAACCATGTGGTAGAGGGAATATAGGTCTGATTCTAACTAATTCTCAGTTCCACTGGAGGTAGCATGACCACATCCACCTACAAATAATGGGAACTGCTAATCCTGGATAGAAAACAGGTTATCAAGCTGCAGGAGGGACAAAGGAGACTATTTTTCTGTGTGCTACAGAGTTACTCACACAGATCTGGAAACAAATGTAGTCAGTCATTGTGCTCCTAGAATCCTGTATTTCATACCAGGCGTAATCTGACATTTTCCAGACCAGGTAGATCTATTTTAGATATATTTGATAGTTGTATTAGACTTTTAAGAATTATAGGACTCAGATTCTACTAATTTGAGACATTCTAAGACCATGCTAAAATCATGACAAAGAGCAGGAGAGCAAACTGGCAATGTAATTTATTCACTCAATGACTAACACTACACAAAAAGTTGGAGTCTTGCGGATTTAAGGGCCTCAGCAGTAACCAGATGGATCTGAAGCATTAGGGAAACATATATATTTTATGTATCCCCCAGGGATCATGGTTTTGGTTAAAATTTTTTTCCTCCCCTTCTGAGGAACCAGGGAACTGTCCATCAGGCACTACCCAGGCTCTGTGCAGACTTACCTTCAGCTTCTGCTCCAGCATCCTTTCCTGCTCCCTCAGAAGTTCTTCTCTTTCTCTCTCCATCTCATCTTTCAGTTGAGCTAAGTTCTCTTGGAAGTGTCTCTCTTCAACTTCCTTGATTTTCTGCAGCTCTTTTTGCATCTGTCTTTGTAGCTCCCATCCTTTCTCAGTTAGCTCTTTCTTGGCCTGCTCAGCTGCTCCAAAAACATTTTCATGAAGAGAAGAAAACAACAGTCAAGTCTTAAATTAATTCTGTAGTATTTTGTTTTAATACTACTGTAAATTTGACCTTGTCTTACATTAAATCTAACATGTTTTTTTCCCCATTTCTCTAAATTAATCTGATTAAAATTACGTTTGTGTTTAGTATGTCAAACACTAATGTTTGGTAATGTTTTTCTCTTGAAATTTTTTTGAAAAAAAACTAAGGAGGGATAACTGCATACTTTTAAGGACACAGCCTGTGAATTATTGTCTTTTGAAAGATCGAAATCAATGCAGGTCCAGAGGCTGATGTCCAATTCCAAGTCACTGGTATCAAAAAATATTTTAACTCTTACCCTCTCAAAGGTAGAATGAATTGTGGCCAAATATAGGGCACTGCTTTGTTGGTCTTATACTTCAAGTTAATGTCTAAAAAACTCTAGCTTTGAAAGCAATGTGAATGGATTCTGAACTGCAACTTTACTGTTAAGTTCCCACGCCTGGAGAAGTTAATTTCAGCTCATAGCAAAGGAAACCATCAACAAATTTAAAAGTCCAAATAGGAGAAGATATTTGCAAATCATATATCCAATAAGAGGCTAATATCCCAAATATATAAAGAACTCGTACAACTCAATAGCAAAAAAACAAACAATCCAAATAAAATAAGAGCCAAGGATCTGAATAGATATTTTTTCAAAGCAGCCATATGAATGGCCAAGGGTTACGTGTTCTCAGTATCACTAATCATCAGGAAATGCAAATCAAAACCACAATGAGATAATACCTCAAGTTACAATGGCTATTATGAAAAAGACAAGAAATAATAAGTGCTGGCAAAAGTGTGGAGAAAAGTGAATTCTTGTGCACTTTTGTGGGAATGTAAAGTGTTCCAGCCATTCTGGAAAACAGATTCCTCAAAATATTAAAAATATAACTACCATATGATTCGTTAAATGCTACTTCTGGGCACTTATCCAATGAAAACAAAAATACTAACTTGAGAAGATAAATACACTCCCACGGTCATTATTTACAATAGCTATGATATGGAAACCACCTAGGTGTCCACTGACGGATGAATGGATAAAGAAAATGTCTGTATGTGTGTGGTGTGTGTACACACACACATACATACACTTACAAAGAATATTATTCAGCTATAAAAAAGAAGGAAATCTTGCCACTTGCGATAACATGGGTGGACCTTGAGAGCATTATACTTAGCGAAATAAGAGAAAGACAAATACTGTATGATCTCATTTATATACGGAATCTGAAACACACAAAAAAGAGAAACCAAGCTTATAGGTTGCCAGAGGTGGGAGGTGAGGGGTGGGCAAGAAATAGGGTCAAAAGTTACAAACTTCCAATTATAATATAAAATCAGTCTTAGGGATGTAATGTATAGCATGGTGACTCTAGTTAATAATACTGAATTGCATTTTTGAAAGTTGCTAGCAAAGTAGATCTTAAAAGTTCTCATCACAAAAAAACATTTTTTGAAACTAGGGTGATGAATGTTAACTAGACTTATTAAGGTGATCATTTCACAGTGTATACAAATACTGAATAATTCTCTTGTCCACCTGAAATGTATATGTTTTATGTGGATTATGCTTCAATGAACAATAAGATGACATATACCTCAAAAATGAGCCACAATTTCACAAAACAAGCTTCATTTTATAATTTTCTAAGGAAATCTGGGTCTCCTTCATGTGAGCTTAGAACCTCATCTGTATACCAAATGACTTACCAGGACAAAAACAAGCTTCATTTTATAATTTTCTAAGGAAATCTGGGTCTCCTTCATGTGAGCTTAGAACCTCATCTGTATACCAAATGACTTACCAGGACTTGGCACATCTACACTTAAGAAACTGCCAATTGTATCAAAAATCCTTGAACCAAATGAGTATTTTTTATTTGCTGTAATCTCTTTTCTCAGTTGCTGTATCTCTGTACACATCTTCTCAGATTTCTTCTTAAATCCTTCATTAAGCAGTTCCTGTTGGACCTACACAAGAGGAGTCCATTTTGAAAATACCCAATTATCAAGAGTAAGAATTTTGTTCAGCACCTTCACCATGTAAGGACAGTGTCTACTTCTCTATCACCTGAGAATGCTCTCTCATGAGTTTACCCAGTATTTCCACACATCTGGTCCTCGATAGTAGGAGTAGCCATGGCTTCTAACTTCCTAGAATTCCCTCAGCACCATCTCACTAAAAGAGGATGGGGTCAGGCTAGGTCATACCTGAAAACTCTCCTTATATGTGTTCCAGCTCTAAGGATGCCCCTTGGGAGGGAATGTAGGATGAACTCTAATTACTGCTCAGTTCTACTGAGGTAGCATGCACACACACATCTAACAAATCATGGGAAATGCTGACCCGCCATAGAACATTGGTTACCCAGTGTCAGCTTAAGTTAGAGAAAAAATTTTCCTCTGTACTTTGTAGGATGACTCATGCAGACCTAGATACAAAGTAAATTTTAGAGCTTTTGGAATTCTGTGTTTCATATCAGGTCTAATCTGATACTTAAGATAGGATGGAGTCTTTCAGGTCTGTTTGATGGTTGAGCCAAGAATCCTAAGGACTAGGGGACTAAGGCTCTATTTAACTGGGGCTCAAGGAGGCCATCCTGCAATCAACACAAATAGCAGCCCGGCACCCTGTGACGTTACTGTACACTACAAAGTCTAGTAACTACAGAAGGTGCAAGAGTCTTGTGGATTTAAGGACCTCAGCAGGATCCATACGGATTTGAGGTTTTCATGAATCACAGGTCTTTCAGGTTTTCCCCTGGGCTCATGATTTTGACTAGTTTGGGTCCTTCCCTTCCTGAGAAACCATCTGTGCTGAACTCTCTTTCAGGCACTACCCCGGCTCTGTGCAGACTTACCTTCAGCTTGTGCTCCAGAATCCTTTCCTGCTTTCTCAGACAGTTTTCTCTTTCTTTTTCCATCTCCTTTTTCAGTTGAGCTAAGTTTTCCTTGAAGTGTCTCTCCTGAACTTCCATTTTTTGCTGCAGCTCTGTCTGTATCTGTGTTAGCAGCTCCAGTTTCTTCAAATCTGCTTCCTTCTTGTCCTGCTCAGCTGTTCCACAAACGTTTTAGAGAGACAAGAACAGAAATGTCAGGTCTGCTTATTTTATTCTGCAGTTATTTATTTGTTTTGATACTATTGTAAATTTGACCTTTTGTTACATTAAATCTTCTAACATCTTGTTTTCCATTTCTTTAAATTACTTTAATCAAAATTAAGTTTGTGTTTTTGTATGTCAAACTCTAATAATCTTTGGTAATCACTTTTCAATATTTAAACTTTTGTTAAAAGAAACTAATATGGGGGTTCTGGTTTAAGATGGCAATGTATAAAGATCCTGAACTCACCTCATCCCATGGATACAACAAATCTACAGCTATATATGGAACAATATCCTTTGAAAGAATCCCCCAAAGTAGCTAAGTGACTCCTATACATTGGGAAAAAGAGAAAAAACCCACTTTTAAGTGGTTAGGAGAGACTGAGACATAATCTTACCATAAACTCCACCCCTGGCACCAGGTCTCTACAATCAGGAAGGAACTAAAAAACCTGGAGTTTCTTCCTGAGGAGCAAAGGGTTGGAACCCCACATTGAATACCCCAACTTTAAGACCTGCACCTGAGATGTGAGCCCCCAAAACACCTAGCTTTGAAAGTCAATGGGGCTCACATTGACAAGACACACAAGGCTATAGGAAACTGAAAAATAGTTCTTAAAGTGCTTTCATACTTGGACTTGTCCTGGGGACTAGTGCAGAGGCGGCTGATTGAGAGGCACCCACACTTTATGTGAAAAAGGCTTATTTGGTTATCCTAAAGCAATGGTCTGAGGAGTGAAGGAATTCTCCTTGGACACTTTGCAATGGTCGCTAAAGGGGTTTGGGTTCCTAGGACTGATAAGACTATAACTGGAGAGCGAGTTCTTGGTAGGCTACCACCCCTGGGGCACTGCAAAGACAGCAGATGGAAATAAATGGTCAATATTTTTATGAAAGAAGCATCTTTCCATGTCCTGGAGCTTTCACCTCAGGGGCAGGCTTCAGGTTTGGCACATATCTAGGGGCCTATGGAGGCTTCTGCAGCAATAGAGTTTGGCAGATGTCATCTTTGCACTCTCCCTCTGCCTCACTTCAGTCCACTAGTATCTTCATCCTCATTAGTGCCCTGTTTTGAGTGGGTGCCCCAGAGGACACTCCTAGTCACCTGGCTTTGGTAGCCAAAGGGACTTACACTTGTGGTCCCAAGGACTATATATACTTCTTACTTTAAAGGCTGTTGTCAGAGGTTCTAGCTTCCAATCAACCTGGATCTAGATGCTGACTGAGATCCTTTAAGACACTGAGAGGTCTTGGAACATCCTTAAATACTGAGAGCCACTAAAAATAGAATAGGATACTTGTACAATCAAAAAGGTTTGAGGGACAACCAATAGCTAGGGCAGGGTTGAATGATAAGATTCATTTCCTACATGAAGGCCACTTCAAGATTGGAAAAAGTGGTGGTTTTATCAAATGCATGGAAACCAACATAAGGAGTTGAGGAAAATGAAGAAACAGGAATATTTTCCAAATGAAAAAGCAAGACCAATGACGTAACAGATATATACAGAACATTCCATCCAAAAGCAACAGAATACTACCTTCTTCTCAAGTGCACATTCTCCAGGATAGATCACGTTAGCCCACAGCACAAGTCTCAATAAATTTAAGAAGACTGAAATATTTATAGGAAGGTTCATAGTGATAGGTGCCTACATCAAGAAATAAGAAAAATCTCACACCATCTAACTTTACACTTCAAGGAACTAGAAAAAGAAGAACAAAGACCAGAGTTAGTAGAACAAAGGAAATAACAAAGATCAGATTGTAAATAAATGAAATAGAGACTTAACAATAGAAAAGATTGAAACTGGGAGCTGATTATTTTTGAAAGAAAAAACAAAGTTGAAAAACTTTTAGCTAAGGTCACCAAGAAAAAAAGGCAGAGCTCAAATAAATAAATTCAGAAATGAGAAATATTACAGCTGATAGGACAAAAAGAAAAAGAATAAGAGACTACTGTGAACAATTTATACACCAACAAATTGGACAACCTAGAAGAAATGGATACATTTCTAGAAACATAACAACAGATCAAGACTGAATCAGGAAGAACAGAAAATCCAAGCAGATTGAACACTAGAAAGAAAATTGAATTAATAATCAAAAAACTCCCAACAAAAATCCAGAACCAGAGAGTTTCACCAGTGAATTCTACTAAATATTTAAAGAAAAATTAATACCAATCCTTCTCAAACTCCTTCAAAAAATAGAAGAGGAGGGAATTACTTCCACAGTCATTTAACAAGGCCAGTATTACAGTATTACCCTGATTAGGACAGACTAGGACAACACAAGAAAGGAAATTACAGGCCAATATACCTGACGAACACAGATGCAAAAATTTTGAACAAAATATTAGCAAACTGAATTCAATACAAGTATCATATACCATGATTATGTGGAATTTATTCCAGGTATGCAAAGATGTTTTAACATCCACAAATCAATCAATATGATACACCATATTAATAAAATGAAGGATAAAAATCATACAATAATCTCAATAGGTACAGAAAAAGCATTTGACAAAATACAATATACAATTATGATAAAAATTTTCAACAAAGTGGGTATAAAGGGAATGTACTTCAACATAATAAAGGCTGTATATAACAAACCCAAAGCTAACATCATATTCAATGGTGAAAAGCTGAAAGCTTTTTCTCTTAGATTAGGAACAAGATCAGGATACCCACTCTGGTCACTTTTATTCAACATAGTATTGGAAGTCCTAGTAAAGCAAGAAAAGAGAACTAAAAGTCATCCAAATTGGAAGGGAATAAGTAAAATTATCATTATTTATAGATGACATGACACTATATATAGAAACAACTATAAAGTCTTCTAAGAAAAATTAAAACTAATGAACAAATTCAATGAAATTGCAAAGTACAAAATCAGTATATAAAAATCTTCTTTGTTTCTGTACACTAATAACAAATAACCAGAAAGAGAAATTAAGAAAACAATTCCATTTACAATTGTATCAAAAAGAATAAAATACTTAGGAATAAATTTAACCAAGGAGGTGAAAGATCTATACACTGAAAATTATGACATTGATGAAAGAAACTGAAGAAAAGACAAATAAATGGAAAGATATACAATATCCATGGATTGGAAGAATATTGTTAAAATGTCCATAGTACCTATAGTGATCCACAGATTCAATGCAATCCTTATCAAAATTCCAATGGCATTTTTTCTCACAGTAGAACAAACCATTCTAAAATTTGCATAGAGCCACAAAAGACCCCAAATAGTTACAGCAACCTTGAGAAAGAAGAACAAAGTAAGCATCACACACCCTGATTTCAAACTGTATTACAAAGCTAGAGTAATCAAAACAGTATGTTACTGACATAAAAACAGACACATATAGATCAATGGAATCAAATTGAGAGTCCAGGAATAAACCCATTCATATATGGTCAATTAATTTATGACATAGGGGCCAACAATATACAAAGGGGAAAGGACAGTCTCTTCAATAAATGGTGCTGGGATAACTAATTGGTTACATGCAAAAGAATGAAACTGGACTACTATCTTACACCATACACAAAAATTAACTAAAAGTGGATTAAAGACTTGATTGTAGACCTGAAACCATAAAACTCCTAGAAGAAAATACAGGGCAAGTTCATTGACATTGGTCTGGGAAATGAGTTTTTAGATTTGACACCCAAAGCAAAGACTGCAAAAGCATAAGTAAATAAATGGGGCTATATCAAACTAAAAAGCTTCTGCACAGCAAAGGAAACCATCAACAAATTTAAAAGTCCAAATAGGAGAAGATATTTGCAAATCATATATCCAATAAGAGGCTAATATCCCAAATATATAAAGAACTCGTACAACTCAATAGCAAAAAAACAAACAATCCAAATAAAATAAGAGCCAAGGATCTGAATAGATATTTTTTCAAAGCAGCCATATGAATGGCCAAGGGTTACGTGTTCTCAGTATCACTAATCATCAGGAAATGCAAATCAAAACCACAATGAGATAATACCTCAAGTTACAATGGCTATTATGAAAAAGACAAGAAATAATAAGTGCTGGCAAAAGTGTGGAGAAAAGTGAATTCTTGTGCACTTTTGTGGGAATGTAAAGTGTTCCAGCCATTCTGGAAAACAGATTCCTCAAAATATTAAAAATATAACTACCATATGATTCGTTAAATGCTACTTCTGGGCACTTATCCAATGAAAACAAAAATACTAACTTGAGAAGATAAATACACTCCCACGGTCATTATTTACAATAGCTATGATATGGAAACCACCTAGGTGTCCACTGACGGATGAATGGATAAAGAAAATGTCTGTATGTGTGTGGTGTGTGTACACACACACATACATACACTTACAAAGAATATTATTCAGCTATAAAAAAGAAGGAAATCTTGCCACTTGCGATAACATGGGTGGACCTTGAGAGCATTATACTTAGCGAAATAAGAGAAAGACAAATACTGTATGATCTCATTTATATACGGAATCTGAAACACACAAAAAAGAGAAACCAAGCTTATAGGTTGCCAGAGGTGGGAGGTGAGGGGTGGGCAAGAAATAGGGTCAAAAGTTACAAACTTCCAATTATAATATAAACTCAGTCTTAGGGATGTAATGTATAGCATGGTGACTCTAGTTAATAATAATGAATTGCATTTTTGAAAGTTGCTAGCAAAGTAGATCTTAAAAGTTCTCATCACAAAAAAACATTTTTTGAAACTAGGGTGATGAATGTTAACTAGACTTATTAAGGTGATCATTTCACAGTGTATACAAATACTGAATAATTCTCTTGTCCACCTGAAATGTATATGTTTTATGTGGATTATGCTTCAATGAACAATAAGATGACATATACCTCAAAAATGAGCCACAATTTCACAAAACAAGCTTCATTTTATAATTTTCTAAGGAAATCTGGGTCTCCTTCATGTGAGCTTAGAACCTCATCTGTATACCAAATGACTTACCAGGACTTGGCACATCTACACTTAAGAAACTGCCAATTGTATCAAAAATCCTTGAACCAAATGAGTATTTTTTATTTGCTGTAATCTCTTTTCTCAGTTGCTGTATCTCTGTACACATCTTCTCAGATTTCTTCTTAAATCCTTCATTAAGCAGTTCCTGTTGGACCTACACAAGAGGAGTCCATTTTGAAAATACCCAATTATCAAGAGTAAGAATTTTGTTCAGCACCTTCACCATGTAAGGACAGTGTCTACTTCTCTATCACCTGAGAATGCTCTCTCATGAGTTTACCCAGTATTTCCACACATCTGGTCCTCGATAGTAGGAGTAGCCATGGCTTCTAACTTCCTAGAATTCCCTCAGCACCATCTCACTAAAAGAGGATGGGGTCAGGCTAGGTCATACCTGAAAACTCTCCTTATATGTGTTCCAGCTCTAAGGATGCCCCTTGGGAGGGAATGTAGGATGAACTCTAATTACTGCTCAGTTCTACTGAGGTAGCATGCACACACACATCTAACAAATCATGGGAAATGCTGACCCGCCATAGAACATTGGTTACCCAGTGTCAGCTTAAGTTAGAGAAAAAATTTTCCTCTGTACTTTGTAGGATGACTCATGCAGACCTAGATACAAAGTAAATTTTAGAGCTTTTGGAATTCTGTGTTTCATATCAGGTCTAATCTGATACTTAAGATAGGATGGAGTCTTTCAGGTCTGTTTGATGGTTGAGCCAAGAATCCTAAGGACTAGGGGACTAAGGCTCTATTTAACTGGGGCTCAAGGAGGCCATCCTGCAATCAACACAAATAGCAGCCCGGCACCCTGTGACGTTACTGTACACTACAAAGTCTAGTAACTACAGAAGGTGCAAGAGTCTTGTGGATTTAAGGACCTCAGCAGGATCCATACGGATTTGAGGTTTTCATGAATCACAGGTCTTTCAGGTTTTCCCCTGGGCTCATGATTTTGACTAGTTTGGGTCCTTCCCTTCCTGAGAAACCATCTGTGCTGAACTCTCTTTCAGGCACTACCCCGGCTCTGTGCAGACTTACCTTCAGCTTGTGCTCCAGAATCCTTTCCTGCTCCCTCAGAAGGTCTTCTCTTTCTCTCTTCATCTTCTCTCTCAGCTGCACCATATGTTCCTTGAAGCTTTTCTCTTGAACCTCCAATTTTTGAAGCTGCTCCTGCTGTTTCTGTCTTAGCATCTGCTGTTCCTTCTCAGCAGCCTCCTTCTTCAACTGCTCAGCTGTTCCACAAATATTTGAGGAGGGAAGAAACACCTCTGAGACTGAGACTATCTTCCTTAGCTCAGATATAAAACTGACTTTGAAAATGTGGCTGGAAAACCTCTGAATTCAGTGGGTCACCAAAAGCACATTTCAGAATGACAAAGAGAAGGCTCTGTCTGCCTGCCTGATATAAAAAGTCAGCTCTGATTGTTTTATTTATATTTAGCAGGGCTGTTGCATAGAAGGAGAGGAAGCTTTTGGTAACGGGATGTGTTCGCTCTCACCCCTGTCACAAAGCACTGCAGGGAACTACCCACTCCACTGGGAGCTCAGCCCTGCTGCTGTACCTGCCAGGGCCTTCTGCCCACTCGTGAGGGCTATGTCTCCCTGCAGGATGGATTCTTCTATTGCCATCTGAGACTGTTGGAAGTGCTGAAGGATGTCATTTGCCTGAGGAAACCAGGAGCAAAGACATGTCATGTAACAAAGCTCTTGTATCTTTTCAGAGAAATTAGTGTTCTATAAGTCACAAACCTGGCCTTATAAATTTTTCACCTTCTTTATCTCCCATGCTAACTTTCCTTCTATGGCTCCACCTTAAATTCTGAGTTCTTTTGTGAGCATGAAAACCCCCCATTACAGCCTCCTTCCTAGCACTCCATCCTTCTCTCCAGTGAAGACTTCCCCTACCCACCCAGGTTATAGCCAACCAGACTTACATGCATCTATAAACAGGTAACTCTGTTTTTTCAAAATTTCTTAATCTTTCTTTCTGCCGGAAGGTTCGCCTACCCTTTCTGAACTAGGATAACAATTACAGATACTTAATCTTGTACCCTGTATTTGCTCTTCCAGGGTGTTTTCCTAAGCTGCCTTTCCAATTTCAAAGAATGACACACATTCTGAGCTGCCATCCCGCCTCTCCACTTGCTGGCAGCATGACTCTGAGCAACTTATTTACTTCTTTGTGCATCGTCTTTCTCAACTGCTTATCAGTAGTATATAAATCATAATATTCTGAGTATTGACAATCTAACAAATGTACCTAACTACAGGTGTCTTATTATATGTGTGGTGTAGTAAGGGATAATACTGAGTTTATCAGCCATTATTATTGTTATCATCATAATAATCAGCATCACGATTTTTAACACCTATTCATGAATAGTATAATCATACAGTTGTCTACTTATTTGTATTTCAGGTAACATCATCATCTTGTGAACAAAGGTTGGGTCTTTAATCTTTGTATCCTCTATACTTAGCTCAGCAACAATTACCTTGTTTGATAACAAAAATATTCTTTCATCTGGAATTCCCAATTCTATACCTTTTTTTGGGGAAGGAATATTATGATCTCTTCAAGAATATAAAACTAATTGTGGATATGACAATTAAAAGTGTGGAGATATTGCTATGCTCTGCTTTCCCCAAAAATACTGCTATTATTGTAGATTTTCAGAAGGTGCAACAAACATCCTCTGACTGTGGTTCTGGCTACCACCCCTCCTTCCTTGCTTTTCACCTTAACTCCTTTCCTGAGCACGAGATTATAGTTCCATTCGACCTTGTTCTTTGCTTCCTTGTACAGCTCATGCCCTCCAGGAACAGAATAAATTCCTGCTGAAATATTTTCCATTAGAGCCTTTGAAAGCTTATCAAGTATAGCCTGGCAGTATTTCACAGATGCCTCTTCATTCTGAAGCAAGAATTCTTCCTTCTTTTTCTCTATGGCTTCCTGCCAGGGAAATGAGGAGAAATCCAACAGAAAGAAGTTTTGTTAGAGGGAAAGGTCCCACTTTGATCATATTGGAAGGGACAGTCTGATTGCTCGAGTGGACTGGAACATGGAAGGAACCAGGCGTCGGGAGACTTGCTTTAGTTCCAGTTCCAACCAGTTCTCGGTGTGACTTATACACAGTCCCTTAATTGTCGTAGACTCAGGCTCACCATCTGTAAACTGAACTTCAAGCTTCCTTCTGCTGTAATACGAGTACCACTGACCCAACTGACAGCACGAGCCAAAGAAAGCTGAATTGTGGCTAGATGTAGTTTCCTCAGAGAACTTGAGTTGTTGTGGAAATGTATACAAAGAAAATCAACTACTCAATAATGACTGAAATGTACTCTGAACAGTGTTTGGAACTCTTCATGAATTCTTCTACTGAGGATTCAAGTGTGTGAAGATAAAAGAACATAATTTTTTTTCTTGAACTTGTAAATACAATCCAAGGGACTGGGCACCGTCAACAACCCTAATGAAGTGGAGGCTCCTCAGAGGTCTGGAGATGAGAACTCAACCAGGCTAATACCTTGTTTTTAGCTTTGCAATATCATAAGCAGAGCACATGGCCACCCTGGGCTGAACTTCTGACCTACAGATTGGTGAGCTTATTCATATTCATTGTTTTAAACTGTTAAATTCATGGTAATTTTTAATACAGCAATATAATAAAATACCCATGTTATAGTAAAAGCATGAACAGTAGCCCTGTAGAGCCCTGTCACTCACAACAATCCATACTCCTTCTATCACGGCAAGGAGAGGATCAAAAAGAGAGACTCTAAGCATCATTCCAGAAAGGCGGGAATCAGGAGTGACAACTGCCAAGACAGTTACCATGAGTTTCTGCTGGAACTCCCGTTTGTCATCTTTGAAAGAATGCTCCATGAAGATTGCAACAGCTTCCTGCTCACAGGCCGTGTGCACGTCCAGCAGCTCCTGGAGCGTATCTGTGGGGAGGCTCACTCGCTGGGCCATCTGCTCACTGTAGTGGTTGGCTGCCTTCTGCACAGCCGCTGAGTTCTCACTCTGGGCCAAAGTTATCACTGCATTCTCCAAACAAGGAACCATTCCCCTCCTGATGGCATTCACGTAGGTCACCACCAGAGTCCCCAGTCCTGAATGAGCCAGGTATTTGTTGATAAATATCAAGTTACAACTCATTGTTTTATAGGATTTAGGGGCCAACGTTCTGAAAATTACTAAAAACCAATTTGGGAAAAACTTATTTTTTTTTTATCCGACTACATCATTCTAATATTTTCTTCTTCATTCTTTATGATTCTCTAGCTCATAAATTAAAATTTAAATTACTGATTCCCACCAATATGAGTAGGAGTTTCCTGGAAAAATACGTTCAAATTCAAGAAGAAAACAGGAGTAGATCAGACAGGCAAAGTAAATGTAATAAATGAATCCAACTACGTATTTGTGGGGCACGATTACAAATGAAAATGTGGGTCCTCTTGTAAAAAAAAATCGAGAATTTTAAGACAGTGACAGAACATTAAACCAAGCACGGACCCATCTCTGCACAAGACACCGTATGACCACTGTCCCTGAACCTAATATTAAATTTACTCTCAATGAGCTTGCAGACCCATAATCTACTTTTTATTTCTGGACTGGAATCAACTCACAAAGTATCTTCTAAATCCTTTATCTCATAGGATTTCTCAATACACATTTAACTTTAACTCCATTTTCTCTTTATAATTAGTGGATTCAGTACTTAAGATATATTAGGTTTCAGCAAACTCTCACCCAGGCAGACTTTAATTAATAAACATGTTTGTCTTTTTGTGGCATGAACATTTGCTTCTCTACATTCACATATGATGTAAACAAAATTATTAATAAACCCAGAATATAATCAGAGCTCTACTACACACACTGACATAGAGATAAGCTTTGGGACAAAGGTGACTCACGGTTCCCGGTGACAATGATTCCCTCTCTCAGAGTCTTGGGCCTTCCATGGGCAAAGATATAGGAACAAAAATTTTTTGATTGCATCCGGAAATTACTATCCAGATGCTCTTCTGGCACATTATCAATATGGAATAACATGTATTTGTCATTTGTTGGCCGGTCAAAGACAAAACACTTCCGTTTTGGAAAGAACAGCCTGATACACTCTCTAGGCATGTTGGAGTTGTGGATTTGTTGATTCGTGCCTGCAGAAGTAGAAAAAGAGCAATCCTTCAACGGCCAGCCTTCAGACAAGGTATGATGTTATAAGAAAGATAACATGAAGGATTGACAATCTTACTGGAAAGATATGTCAACATATCTTTAGACCTTTTAGGGTATAAATATCCTTTCTGTGATTGATGTAACTCTACAGGCACTAATAAAATATATTTACTGTTTTACTATTACTACATTACTATTGTTACTGTTTTACATTTTAAAAACAAGATAATTTGATTTCACTGTAATTTTGTTTAGCAACTTCCAATCTGTTAAGCTATTTTTTTTTTTCAATGAAGAACAGGAAGAGCACTTAACAGGGTACAAAAGTATGTAGACATCAGGAAGTTCCAGCATTGATTGCTATCTGGAAAATTTTTTTCATGGTACTAATTAGTCTAAAATCATCTCTTCTAATACTAGGCACTAGTTTCCTTGGTGAGCTTGAACTCCAATTGCTGGAGGTTTTAAAGTAATAATAACCCCACAAAAACCAATCACCTCTAGCAAGGGCCTAAATCTAAACTCAATTAAACATACATGTCAAATTCTGAATGACGAGGCACAGTTGATCCCACCCACCAAATAACTTTCCACACCCAATCCATGCTCTGATACCTGGAATCAGCTTCAAGGCATCCTCTAGGTACTCATCTTCAGTAATAGGGGAGTCATTTATTTTCATCTCCAGCATGAAATCCCTTAGAGTCCAAATGAAGTCTGGAAAGAAACTCACAAACTCTACAGAGTCTTCCAGAGTGCCATCAGAACTTGAGGAGGACTTTATCCTGATTAATTCAGCGAGTTCAGTAATAAAGCTGGGAACTTAGCTAAGGAAGAAATATTTTACACCACAATTTCAGATATCACATAGAAATAAACTGTATAAGCATGAATTTTGTCCTGTGTCTCACTGCTCCCCAACCATGACAACTGAGACACAGGAAAGGTGATGGCCTCAGTTGCCACTCCCATGTACTCAGTAAAACTCAGTGGTTCAGTTCCTGGAAGGATACTGCAATTGCTCAAGGGCCAGGTGGTTGATGGTGCCCATGCTGTTGTAGATCAAGATGCTGCTCAGAAGCACAGTTAGAGCAAAGATCCACGAGTCATTCTTAGGATCACCCTAGAAAGCACATCAGACAGGGACTTAGAAGGCCACTCTGCATTCATTCTGTTGTTCATTTACTATATTGTGACTATGTATTGCCGAATAGTAGGGCAAAGAAGGCAGGTTTTTAAGATATCATAAATTCAATCTCATTTTCACTATTAACATAGTCCTCTATCAAGGCTTCAGTTTCACAGCTATTAAAAATGAACAACAGTCAATGTGTACAAAAATGTTTAATACAGTGTCTAGAACATAGTAGGTGCATAGTAATAAGTGAGCAATTATTCCTTTAGCAAATTTTTTATGACATCTGTATTTGTGACAAAAATGTTATTTAGAAACTTCAATAACTATTCTCTGGGCACCCGCAACATGCCAGACACTGCACTTAGTTGCACATCCATGATAGTCCCTGCCCTTTAGATGACTTTATGAAGGAGATAAACATGTCACATGTAAATGCAACCAAGATTATAATTTCTTGCACGGGAACAAGTATTGCACAACTTCAGAGCAAGAAGTGACTACGTCCAACTGGTCTTACGATGGCAATAAAGTAAAAACTGGTGTATTTTAAAGAATTGACAGAATGTGAACATGTAGATCATCCAGGTAGAAGGATAAGTTATTTCTGTTTCCAATGTGGAAAATGAAGCTGGAAACAAGATTCAGGGTAAGACCTGAAGGTCTCTGTAGGCCATAAAATAGAATTAGACACTCTCAAATCACTCTATAATTCTAAAATTAACAAGTAGTTTTGCTGCCATCAGCAGTTTATAATATAATATGGCATATTTTGTTCCCTTGTACAAGCACAGCATCTGGATTCTATGCTTACCAGACTTGATCTGGAAGACTGGAAAACTTTTTCATAATTCTGGGGGAAAAAAGATTTTCTCAAGTCCTTATTTTATTATCCCTAGAAGTATCCCACTTTGTTTTTTTAAAGCAGGACTTGGACCAAACAACAAACTATTTCAACATCAAGAGTATAATTTGGGTTTTATACTGAAGTTACTGTAGAGAACTTTAAAACTGAGCACAGAATCTCTAACTCCTTTTGTCCCTCTACAGTTATGGAAGCCATATAAATGCCTACTGTGGCTACTTTGAACACAGACTGAAAATAACATAAAATAAGGAGGAGAAATGATTTTTTGCACTTAATACTATTTTCAGTATGTCCAGGTCATTCTTTTATAGAAGTCAGAGAAGAAGTAATCACCAAAACCAGACACTTGAGCTAAAACCTTTGTGAATGTTCCTGGTGCAGCTGAAGCTTTTTCTGAAGAGTATTTAAATAAAATATTTCACTGAAATTCTATTTGACAGCTTCTACTTTAATTCCATTCTTCCTATATACTTTAATGGTAACTCCTATCAACATCACAGGTTACAGTTCAGATATTATTTCTTCCAGAAAGCTTTCTCTAAGCCACATGACTGGATTTGTTGCCTACATCTGTGCATGGCACCCTGTACTGATTATACCAGGTTCTTGTCTCCTACAGCAGGCTCTAGGCATTTGCCCTGTTTACTGCAGTACTGTAATTCTAAGTACAGAGCCCAGGATTCAGCTGTTCAGTAAGTATTTACTGAATTGTATATTTATGTAAGTATTAAAAATAAGATCTTGCACTAATATACCAAAATATTTGAGCTTACCAAGGAAGAAAGTTCATGGAAAAATAACTTAACCTCATATTTATAATTGGATTTATAGTTTGAAAGAATAGGTAACAGAATTTGAGTTGATGTAGCAAATCAAAAGACAAGTATAAATATAAGCCAAAGGCAAGTATGTCTGGCTTACCTTCTCCATATCACCGAGACCTTCTGTATCCAGAAGAACTAGGGTGTGGTTCGGCTTCATGGGGTGGGATACACACCACATCCAGATGCCCCTGGTTTCGCACCTCACTGTAGAGCCCAGCTGGAAGCCTACAGGAAAAGAAGAGAAAGCAATAAGAATACATGGGGATCCTTAGAGTTTAGTGGACTGAGGTTCAACCCCTAGTGGTGCTGAATCAGAGGGGAGGTAATACAGCAGAAAACAAAAAAATGGCTGCATGGTCTGCATAGAGAGAAATGACTAAGGACTAATGGGACCATAGGCGGATTCTCCTGCAATTCAGTAAGGACTAAACAAGACAGCTGATTAAAAACAAAAAAGGACTTGAACAGACATTTAAAAAAATGGGATATACAAGTGGCAAGTAATATGAGAAAGGGTGCTCAACCTTATTTAGAGTGAGGCACACGACATATAATAAGTCATCACAACAGTAAAAGTTAAAAATATTTCTAAGAATGTGGCAATTCCTATTTACTGCTAATAAACATGTAAACTGAATATAAAGTTGAAAAAGCCATTTGATATTATCTGGAAATCTTTAAGAAACACATACTCTGTGACATGGAAATTCCATTCTGGGATATATTATATAAGTGAAGTTTGTATACACGAGCAACAGGACAGAATTACAACAGTATCTTTGACAACCTTGTTCATAAATGGTAAAAATGGAAATAATATAAATGTTCAATAATAAATGGATAAATAAATTATGGTATCTTCATATGACAGCATATTATAATGCAATGAAATAATGAAATTATAGCTACACACTAAACACTGGATTAATCTTATAAATTTCTTGTTGAGCAAAAAAGAAGTAGGATATCAAAGAATACATACAATTTCATTTCATTTATATAAACTTTAAAAGCAGGCCAAAATAAAGTGCTCTGGAAATGCATAGACTGTAAAGCCATTTTTAAAAAGCAAGGAAGTAAGTACCACAAAATCAAAATAGATGAACACTAATCAAAGTGTTAGACGGTGTTGAAAATGATGAAAAGCCACTAATGTAAGGGCTATTGGGTGTTGGCAATTTTTTATTTCTTAACTCAAGGTAATATTACACAGGTATTCACTTTATTTTATTGGACACTGTGTTTTAGGTACTCTTCTGTATGTGTTATAGTTCACAAATTTGAAGAGGCAAAAAAAGAGTAAGAAGGGGATATAACTTACGATAATTTTGCTATGAAATGGATCAGAAAGATAAAATGGTAGCTCCATTGAGATATGGGATAAAAAGGGTTTTTCCCTTCCTTCTTCTATTTTAGTTTTAAAAACAGGACATATCAAACTACATTTGAAGCTTTTGGAATGACATTACAATTTTGGAAAAGTGATACAGGAGAAAGGAAGGAAATAGTAACAGAAGCTGAGCACCTGAGCAGGAGAATGTGGGTGGAATCCAGATGATCAGCACAGCAGAAATTTGAGAGGGCATGGAGAATGGTTAGAGAAAACAGTGAGGTTTTATGAATAGAGGGGATTGAGGTTATAAATTAGGTGGTAAATATTATGAGTTTTCTTTAGTGGGAGGAGTCAGGCTCTTCCTTAAGATGACCTCAGAGAAGGTGCGATCAGCCTGCAGTTCTCACTCTTCTCCAGCAAGTGGTCCCTGCTCCAAGCAACACTCACCATGGTTCTGTCCCGCCAGACGGTTCATCAGGTAGGACTTTCCTGTCCGATACAGCCCTGCAATGGCCACCACCACGACAGGCTGAGATATCTTTTCAAGAATCTGTAATGCTTTCTGGTTCACAGTCAGCTGCTCTTTCTGGTTTTCCACTAGACAAATGGGTGCTGTCATGGTGGGTCCAGATGCCATGGTGACCTGTAACCCAGAAGAGTTCTTCAGCAGAACACAAGATCTCAAAGTCATCTCAAATGGTCATTCAAAGAATGTGCATGTCAGCTCCCTGTTTGTGGAACATGTATGTCCATCTCCTACTTTTTGTGTAGTTCCAAGGGGAAAGTAGACAGCCAAGCACTGGCAGACCACAGGCCTCTTCCTCCATCACACCCAGAATCTCTGGTGGTATCGCTGGTGACACATAGGTATTACTAGTTCCCTAAAAATAATGTTCTACTTAATGAATCCCTCTGCATGAAAATCCCTAGCAAAAATGTTTTATTTATATTATCTTTTTTTCCTTAAAAAACACTGAAAGTTAAAGAATTTTATCTTTTCTTACTAGATGAAGCAATGGTAGTACATATGTAAGCTGAAAGATTGGTGAGTGGCTGAAGCAGGAGACGAATACGATCTGTCTTATTATACTACCTACTACAAAAACTTACCTGTCAAATACCTCAAATATGTATTTAAAAAATGTTTCTTGGTAGAGAAACTGCAAGCATTCATTATTAACTAGTGACATACGAAGTCATTATGATACATAGTGCAATCTGAATGGATGCTGTTATTCCTGCATGGAGATCAAACCACCAATATGTTTCCAGACAGACTCATCTATTTACAGGGTGTGTGTCTGATAGGAGACTTGAGTTCATCTTCATTTTGTAAAAGGCACAACTTTGACATCCAGTCTAATTTATTACCTTCATTTTTTAAAAATTCAGTATATATTTGATGAGATTTATGCTCAACGCTGAGGAATATTAAAATGAGTTAAGATAGAGTCCCAACCTTCAAAATGCCTTAGAATCCTTATCAGCTAGGATTTGGTTTATCTATGAGTAACAGAAAACCCTAGAAAACTGTGACTTAAAAAGCCAGAAGTCTATTACTCTTTCTCTCAAGTGTACAAAAAGCATACAAAGGTAAATATTCTACTTCACAAAGTCACCAGGGGCACTGATTTCTTGTATTTCCTGCTTCCCCATCCTTTAACAATGCCACCTCAAGGTCCAAGATGGCTCACCATCACATGTACCTCCCACCCAGTTGGAGAAGAAAGGCGAGAAGCTAGGTCATCCTCCTTTAAGGACATCTCCTAAATGAGTGATTATGCATACATCACTTCAGCTCAGATTCCAGTTATACCTCTAGGGCTTACAGTAATTGGAGAAGATAGGCAGTACTTCATTGACTGCAGCGTAAGTGGAGAAATGCCTTGACAGACATATGCACAGTAGGGTGTCCAAGTGAAAAGAAGGGTGATCTAATATAGACTGAAAGAAGAATTGGTTAAAAGATGCTAGTTAGTAAATATGGTGACAAGAGAGAGTTAAAAATGAGAAGAAACAGCATGGGCAATTAACTGAAAAATTAAAATGAGAGGGAGGCATCTAAAAGGACTCCTAGGATTTTAGCTTGGATAGCTAAGTAAATGTCAAAAAGAAAAACAGAAATAGAAGTATGTTTGCAGTGGATATTCAATTTTTGGGGGACATGTTTCAGGATATTCATAGCCACTGAAATAGTATTGTGTACACCTGAATGTAAGTATCTTCTGCTGATAAGCATTCAACCCACACTTTATCATGCTCATTTGTATCTCTTGACAGTAATTTCAATGGAGGCAGGGGCTCCACAATTCTCAGCATATACTGGACACAAAATAAACATTTGCTAGGCTGAACTGATGTGCAGCTCAGTAGAAAGGTCTTCCTGGAAAGTTAGGTATACGAGGCTAGAGTATATGCATCAAAACAGCAAGGATGTCTTTACACCATCTTGCACAGAGGATGCACAAAATACAAAATAATACAAGTTTCAGGAGAATATGTGCCTCAGAAGGCTAGGTCAAGTGTGTATCGAGAAGGAGGAAGTGATCAACAGTACCAAATTAATGGAGAGCTCACCTAAGAGAAGGACCAAATACATTCTTAGGTTTCTCAATGTCCATTAATTTAACAAATATACTGTGTATCTACCATGTGCTGGGTATTGGGCATTGTTCTGGGTGCTCAGTACACACCAGTGAACAAAATGGATACAAAATCCCTGCCTCATGGAGCTCTACTCTACTAGGGAAAGATATGTAATGAGCAAAATCAATTATACATACACACATACATACATACATACATATATATATATGATTGTATACATATAATTTTAAAAGTATATATGTGTATATATACTATATATAGTGTGTATATATAATGCATATATTATATGTATATATAAAGCAGCTGTACCATAGGGGAAATTGTAAAGTTCTTAGATTTAATATTTTTAAGAGCTTTGGGGAGGAACAGATGAGATTACAAAGTCGTTTGTTCTTTTAACTGCAAAGAAGGACTGAGGTATCCAAGCCAAGATGCCTTTAAGTCCAAATTAAACAAGTAGAATGAGATAGCTCAGTTGGATTTAGTTAGATGGTCAATGGTTTCCAAAAGTTACTGTCCATAAGAATTATCTGGAGTGATGGTTAAGAATACCACCAAACCCATATTTTTGACAACTAGCCCAGAATATTCTGCAATAGGCTGTGCATGGAACACACATTTATAAAGAGTGCACGAGAAACACATTTAAACCTCAGGATTTTTAACTGCCGATGAGTGAGAATACAACTGAATTATCTTTGTTGCATCTATGAGATTATTAAATGTGCATAGTACAAAAATAAGGAAGAGACAACCTTTCAGGATTTAAATTTTAAGGTAAACAACATCTTTTCTGTTTCTCCCTTGCCCGAGAGGGGGCAGTCCGTCAGAACTCTCTCATGCAGGGAAGAGGCGGTGGGAGGAAGCGACCCCACCCAGGGCCTCTGAGAGGGGTCGTGCTTTGGTTCCTCAATGTCAGAAATGACTAAAGTCCCCGTTCCCAGGGAGGGGCAGCGCGTCCCGGGGACACGACGCCCGGGTTCGCCTCGCAGCCGCCCGGGTCCCCACGGAGGCGCGGGGCCGCCCGGAGCAAAACGCCCGCGGGCCTCGCACGTCGGGCTCCGCGCGGTCCTCCTGCTCGCTCCGCAACTGCCGGGGTGGGTGCGCAGGGAATCTGGTGTCGGTCAGTTAACGGAAATGTGTGGAAGAGCAAGCGTTGGAGCGAACTTACGTGGCGCGGGCGCTGCAGCCAGGGGACAAGTCCTCGGCGGCCTCGCTCGGCTGTCGCGCGCAGCTCCGCGTCTGCGGCTCCGGAAGCCCGTTCTCCGTGGGCTACGGCCGACCGGATATGTCGCCGTCGTTAGTCAGGGGTGGGGGTGAGAATCGAAAGGGGAAAGAGACGCCCTTCTTTTCAGGCTTTCTTTAGCTGTTAGATTCACACTTTTCAGCGAGGCTGGGGGCCCGAGGTCGTGCGGCCAGGCGCGCCCCTCCGCTGCCCCGAGCCGAGACACCCCGGCGGGCCCCGACCGCACAGCAGACGCGGTCCTTGGCCTCCGACCCCCGGACGTCCCGACCGCCTGCCCTCCGGGATGCTGGGCGGGGGAGAGGTTTCGGTTTTGTTTGTTTATTTTTGTGATTATTTATTCGATCGTTTCTTTTCTACCCGCTTTTCAAAGCTAGTACTCTTGCCAGTAGCAAAAGTATTATTTCATAACAAAAATAGCAAAATATATACATGGTGTATGTATGTATACATACATACATACATACATACATACATACATATGTATATATATATATGCTTCCTTTAATATTAAACACGTTTTGTTCTAATTCCTGTTTTGTTTTTGGTTCTGCGTCTTCTAGGAGCATGCAGCGTTGGGGTTCGCTTTAAATAAAATAGAACAATATGAATTTGAATATAAAAATATGAATAGAAAAATAGAAACAGTGAATTTTTGTTTTAAATGAGTAAAGAAGTCATCACTAACATCACATTTTAAAAAGCTGACAAGTGTTACAAATCTTTTCAGAATGTCTGGGTGTATTGAAAAGAAATCATTGTTTCAATTCCATGTTCAACATTGCATTTGTGTGAAATTGGCTCTTTGACAGTAACAGTGGTAAAACTAAGTACCAACATGTGTTATAGATTCACTTTTTATACACTAAATTTTATAGCATTATCAAAACATTTATAGTGCTAATATGACAACCCAAACTACTAAATAGAATAAAATATCAGAAAATAAAATTTCATACTGAAAATGTTAAATCTCCCTTTTTCCTTTCATATGCAATATAATGCTACCAATCCAATTTTTATGGAAAGTTTATCTTTCATTGCTGTTTTGTTTTGTTTTAAAGAAACTTCACTTTCTATCAACATTATTTCAATTTTAAGAGCCTGTGGAAGACGAGCTTAAGACCACCCAGTGCTTGTTCCTACCCAGTCAGTGGCTGGTACAGTGAGAGCTACAGACCAGTTTTCACCGGCAGGCTGAGTGGTCCAGTCTTCAGTTAGAAACTGCTAGACAAGCAAGTGGGCACCTGTACACACCTTCAGCCTGGTTTGCAACCTTAGGCGAGTAGCAGTGAACTCGGTAGCTGGAGTGGTTCAATCACCTGGCAAGTGGGAAATTTTATCTTTCAATATGAACTCATATACTGTCCTTCCTAATGTTATGTTAAAATATACTCTTATTTATCCTATCATAGTGAATTGGATCCCCTTTTAAAATTGTCTTTACTTGTTGCTATTAAAATTGGATGAAAGAAATTTATTTCCTGCAAAACTTGGCATACATTTTACTGGTACAGGTAATCCGAATGTAGGTCTCATTGCTATTGGTTTTTTAAAGAGCAAATCAAAGTTCTCATTTTTGGTGGATCTATATCTTGAATGGGGCAAATATTATAAAGTGAGTTGTGATGGGTATTAAATAATGTTACAAATAAACTGCTTGGTTGTTTACAAAAGCAAGTTAGTTATATTCAGAAGGATTTTAGATGGCTAATTCTTATTTTCAGGAAGTCATACTATCTGTGAAGCAATATAGTGTTATTCCAAAGTCGACTTCAGTGACTTATAAATGCATATTGTAAACTCTACAGCAACCACTAAAAAATGTAAAAAAAAAAATATGCTAAGGGAGGAGAGAAAGTGGAATCACATAAAAAGCTCAGCTAACACCACAAAAGGCAGTAAAAAAGTGAAAACCAAAAATAGCAACAAAGAACAGAACAAGTAAAAAACAGAAATGAATATGGTAGATACTGATCCAAATATATCAATAATTACTTTGAACATCGATGGTCTACATGAGAGCAGAGAGGAAAACTACTAAAAATATTTTAATATGTATGTGTATCTGTATGTGTGTTACATAATATACAGGACCATATGAAAAAAATATATTAAGAAAAAAAGTATCTCTAGAGATGAAGAGAGATGTAGAAAATGATGAAAGTCCCAGTTTCCCAGGAGGATTTAATATTGTTAATTTTCATAAACTCTAAACGTAATCCTAAAATAGGTTATGCAAAAAAAGAGATAACCTCACAGTTTTAAAGCAACATCTATCGTATTTCTCTATTTGATAGATCAAACCCACATCTTAAACAATACTGAAAATTTGAGCAACATGATAAACAAAATTGAAGCAATTATTTACTGCATAGATAAACTGTGCTAAAATGTGGTAGAAAGCATATATTCAGACTTAAAAGAATTTCAACCAAGCAGAGTGTGCTCATTTATCACGATGCAATATTAGTAAATAATAATGACAGGCTGAATAGAAATCCTGATATGTATCTAAATTTACATTTTTTCTAAATAATCTGTGGGTCTAAGACTTCAAAAAGAAAACTGTAAATTATTTTAGCCTGAAAAATACCTTATATCAAATTTGTCGGATTGACACCTTGTATCAAATTTGTAGGATACAGCTAAATCACTTCTTATCATGAAATTAACAATGTTAAACCCATGTATCAAGGAAGAGTTAAGTATCATCAAAGAAATAGGAGATAGGAGGAGAACTAAGTGGAAATTTTGTAACTAAAAGTACAATCTAAATTTAAAACTCATCAACAGATGTGTTCAGTAGCAGAATGGGGAATACAGTGGAATGAATCTGTGAACTTGACGGTAGGGCCATAGAAATTATCCAATTTATTCACTTTGTGACTGTGTCACAGTTTGGTAATTTTTGCAGTATTTCTAACTTTCATTATTATATTGAGTTGCTGCAATTGGATGATGAAACTTTAATGAATGAGGAGTTGCTTCTTATGGATGAGCAAAGCAAGTGGTTTCTTGAGATAGAAACTACTTCTAGTGAAGATGCTGTGAATATTCTTGAAATGACAATAAAGGATTTAGAATATTGCATAAAACTAGTTGATAAGCAGCAGATTTTGAGAGGATTGACTCCAATTTTGAAACAAGTTTTACTGTGGGTAAAGTGCCTCAGTTTTCTCATTGATTAAATCTGTTTGCTGTAATACCTCAAAGGGGTGTTGTGAGGACTACATTGATATCATTCAAATGGAGCACATTGTATAGAGTCTGTGGTTCCCTAGTAAATGATCAGTAAATATAAGATGTCATAACTACCACAGCTAACATCACCACCTCCAGCAGCAGCAGCATCTACTACTACCACTACCACCACTACCACCATCATGGCCACCTCCATCAATACCACAACCACCTCCATCCACATCTACCACCATCACCACCAAATAACTCACCACCACCACCATCACCACCATAATTACCATCATTACCACCATCTTCTCTACAACCACTACCACCATCACCACCTCCACCACCACCACCCTGTCTCCCAGCACAGGCATGACTATGACACTATCTTGTCACTGTTTACACTGGTCACAGTCTTCTGCTTAGAGGGGAAATTATCTAATCTGGAAGACAGAAAGAAAATGGACTGGGAAAAAGTCCCTTAAAGTCTTGTGGGAGTGTAACAAGAGGTGTAGCATCTATGCCATAACAGAAATGGAAAGAGAGGAGGAAATGGGAGTAATAATGGGCCAGGTGCAGTTCTAGGTGGTGGTAGATACAGTACTGACCAGGAAAGTGTCCTGCTCTGCATAAAAAATGAGGTGAGGAGTGTGATGGTGGGCTCCCTGAGATGCTGTGGGCATGGCCCCACAGAGCCCTGTAAGCTTGGGGTTGGAACCTGGCTTTTTTCTCTAATCTCATGTGCTAAAAGCTGCCAGTTTCTGGCCACAAGAATACCTGGAGTTTGTTCTTGGATGACAGGTTATGCATAATGAAGCCATAACCCACTTTGATGACCAGATCCTACAGCTGACACATTTGGTCACCCTTCCCCATACCTGGGGTTTCTTGGGGCCTCCAGTCTGTCTGACCCCTGATACCAAAACCAGTCAAAAGCACTATAAGAAAAGAAAATTACCAGCCAATATACCTGATGAACATAGATGTAACATTTCTCAATGAAATATTAGGAAACTAAATTCACCATGCTTTAAAAGGATCAAAAATCATGACCAAATGGGATTTATCCCTAGAATGCAAGGATGGCTCAATATGGAAAATCAATTGATACATTTTACAGTAACAAAATAAAAGAAAAACCTACATAATTATCTTAATAAACATAGAAAAAGCACTTGACAAAGTTCAATATCCATTTGTGACTAAAACACTCAACAAAATAGATATAGAATGAATGTACCTCAACATAATAAGGCCATATATGAAAAGTCCACAGTTAATATCACAATCAATAGGGAAAGATGGAAAGCTTTCATGCTAAGATATGATAAAGGCAAGAATATTCATCTTCACCACTTCTTTCAACCTAGTACTGCAAGTCCTAGCTAGAGTAATTAGACAAGAAAAAGATAAAAAGATATAAAAAGATATTAGGCATTCAAATCAGAAAGGAAGAGGTAAAATAACCTGCAGATGAGTGATTGATCATATATTTAGAAAACCTTGAAGATTCAACAAAAAACTGTTAGAATTAGTGAATTCAGCAAAGTTGCAGGATACAAATCAACATGTGAAAATTAGTTGTTTCAATACACCAACAATGGACTATCTGAAAAGAAAATCAAGAATATAATCTTATTACAAGGGCAGCAAAAAGAATATAATATGTAAGTGTAAATTTAACAAAAATGTGAAAGACTTGGACACTGAAAATTATAACACATTGATGAAGGAAATTAAAGACAGATAAATGGAAAGGCATCCCATGTTCATGGATTGGAAGAATCCATGTTGTTAAAATGTTCATACTACCCAAAGTAATATGCAGATTCAATGAAATCCTTATCAGATTCATAGTGGGATTCTTTACGGAAGTAAAAAAAAAATTCCTAAAATTCATATTGAGTCACAAAAGGCCCTGAAGAGTCAAAGCAATCTTGGGCAAGAAGAATAAACCTGGAGGCATCACATTCCCTGATTTCAAAATATATTATGATGCTACAGTAAT